TCTGACAACGAATGAAAAATTGTTCAAAATTAAGATCGAGGCAGCTATGGGTGGGGCTAACCTTTTGGCTTTCTTTTTTACTTAATATACTTAGTTTTCTTTCAACAACATGTTTCACTTGGTCATTTCTCGTAGAAAAATAAGAATTTTGCAATTAAACTCCGCCCTCCGGCTTACGACGAATAAAAACGATCATCACAATTGAAATAGGGCGGGTGGGTGGGGCTTACTTATCCATTGACTTTCTTCTCATAATATACATATCCTTGTTTCAACAATAAAATACACACAATATCAAATGGTGAATTTGAGAGTACAGTTATGTTTCAAGTATTACGTTGTTGAACGGAAACTATATATATTAAGAAAAAGATGCCAATGATTAAGCCCCACCCTGTCTCAATTTTGACGAAGTTTTTATTCGTCGTGAGCCGGGAGGTGGCGCTTGAATACAAAATCCTTATGTTTCTACAAGAAATTACCATGTGATACATGTTTTGAGTACCGTGCTGATATATGATATATTTTACATTTTGCTCTTAATATGCGTAGTCGTTTCGATAATTTAAAAACATGCTTCACATGGCCATTTCTCGTGGGAAAATAAGGATTTTGCAATTAAGCTCCGCCCCCCGGCTTACGACGAATAAAAAAAATCATCACAATTGAGATAGGGCGAGTGGGCGGGGCTTATATTTTGCTTTTCTTTTTCTTAATACATGTAGTCATCTTTTCAAAACAAGAAATTTAAGACATGTTTAAAATAGTAAATTTGTGAAGGGAAATATCGATTTTGCAATTATGCTCCGCCTCCCCGTCTGACAACGAATAAAAAATTCCTCAGAATTACGATCGAGGCGGGGCTTCATTTTTAGCTTTATTTTTTTCTTACCACACATCCTATTCTTTGAGGAAAACGATATTCAAAAACATGTTTTCAATTTCTCGTAAAGAAATAAGTATTTTGCAGTTAAGCTCCGCCCTCTGGACTCACGACGAATAAAAAAATCATCACAATTGAGACCGGGTGGGTGGGTGGGGCTTACTTTTTGCCTTTTCTTCTTAACGTGTGTATAGTGTTCTTTCGTTAATAAGAAAGTATAAAACATGTTTAAAATGGTATTTTTTTGTAGGGAAATACCTTTATTACGCTCCGCTCCTCGGTCTGACACCGAATAAAAAATTCATCACGATTGAGATCGAAACGGTTGGGTGGGGCTTATCTTTTGGCTTTCTTTTTTACTTAATACATTTAGTTTGACGATTTTTTTTATTCGTCGTGTACCAAAAGGGCGGAGCTTAACTGCAAAATACTTATTCCTCTTGATTCACGGCGAATAAAAAAAGATCAACATAATTTTGCCTTTTTATTAATATTTGTAGTCTTCTTATCACAAGGAACTTAAAACATGTCGAAAATGCTAAATGTTTGTGGAGAAATACGGATTTTGCAGTAAGCTCCGCCCTCTTGGCGCACGACGAATAAAAAAAACTATCACAATTGCGATTGGGAGGGTGGGCGGGGCTTATATTTTCCCTTTTTTTCTTAATATGCTATTCATCTTTTCACAACAAGAAACAAGTGTATTATTTTGCATATTTTGAATTCAGTTTATTCAGCAAAATTGTAGATGACGGCATCAAATTTTGGGAAAGATAAACAAAAAAAAATTATTAATATTTTGCAGTTCACACCATAACTGTAAACCCAATTTCCAGTACATATTTGTCAAATGGAACCTACTACAACACTTTCCTAGATTACACTGGGGAAATGTTCGTAACTGTATAAATATTTAATAAAAAAGTTGTATATTATTAAATTCCTTCAACAATTGAGATATGTTCACAGACATTTTATCAAAATGGTTATAGATATGTAGTCAACCCCTAACTTGGTGGTGTACCTCGTGAGTTAAAAAATTTCATTTTTTGCTGATCTCATAAAATTCTCGTTTCGAATTCAAAGCTTTCAAGTCAGGAAATTTTAATCCTTGTCTACCTTATTCTGTACACCTAAGTATTTATGGGATTATGGGAAGCCGCAAAGAAGAGGCGGAGAAACCTAATACCTCTTGCTTTTGGGTACCGACAATTCTTTTGCGTGCAAACAGTATAATAGAGACGGTATGTTTCTGTTTCTGTCTTCGTCCGACACAAGTACGCAGGTATACGTTTCTATGCTACAGTTTTAAACACCTTGCCAAAAAATAACCGTGTCGAACTTAAAATTTTTGCTACCTGCCTCTAAAACAGTCTTGAAAACCGCATTCGCCCTCACCACCCATTCCACCCCTTGTACTTATCGCCAGCGCCTCCGTGATTCCCCTAATAAAGAAAATAAAAAAATACAGCCCAGGAAATGAGTTCCCTTAATGACCCCTTAAATACACGAGACGAGGCGCAAATTGCCCGACGCATTCAGCTATGTAAATGTCATTTCTGACAATAAAACGTCGAGAATAAAGCGAAATCGATACATTCCGTCAAAGTCCGCGACCCTGAAGTCTCCTTCTTCGGCACCTGGATCAGCTACTCCGAGTCTTAAACTTCCCCAAGTTTAAAATTACCAAGACCCTACACATCAATAGCTGAATACCTAATGAAGAACACGCCGTCGCTAACGACCAGATGATGGTCCCATGCATTGTGTCGGCGCGGAACGCGTCACAGTCTAAGTCAATTTGGCAACGTGTGTGTGTAACCCTCAGCTCGGGCCCTTATCGATTCCGGTACCTCAGCTTTATGACAATTGGTTTCGCGTCTTTTCGAAACGGCGTGAATAAATTAATTTCCAAGTACGAAAATAAGGCTGTCAGGTTTGCGGAACGGAACTAATGGAAAAAATTCCGCTTCTTGCTAGTGCCGCTATGTGTGAATGCTGGAACAGATTACGAGATCGGAAATTAGGGTCACAGCGATCAATATTTGATTTCGTTCTTATTTTGGCGCTGGCTTTTTTCATAATTGATACGGAATCGATGTCTACCGAAATCGATACGGAGTTAAGACCGTTTTTGAGTTTTATTAGTTTTCGAGCCGGTGCAACAGGTGTTGATTAACGAGCCACATTACTTTCGATTTCTTAGAAATGGTTGTCAAGGCGAATTCATAAACTACATATACAAGAACATGTGATTTTATAAAATTTGAATAGCGTTTACCATGCACAATTTTCTCAGTCTGACGCTTCGTCTCGCGTCTTTAATAACCACATCACCGTCGAAAATTCATTTAGGCACAGAAATAGAAACGTGCCTCAACAAAGCAATTTTCACAACTCGGTTGGTGCCTTAATACAATTTAACACTTCGCAGACCTTGCGCGTTAAAACTAGTAAATTTTGATCACGTCCCGTAACCCATGTAGAACAAAAGGTAAATCAAGTCGTTTTCCGTCATTCGTAAAATAAAAAATAAGCCGTTTTTTGATATTTCGCTACCGGGTAACAATTTTAGTTTATGACCCTCATACATCTCTCTTTGAATAAAACATACAGGATTTGTGGTCATAAAACGAATCCAGTGTTTTATGTCTTTGTGCTTTTTAGTGTTAAAAAGAATGTTGAATTTTACGAAATGCAAAAGGTATAAATTGGGAATATGCGTTGAGCTTCGTTTAAAGCTCTTGTTAGAAGACAATGGATATGAATAGTAAGGGGAAGTCTCCTGGGAAATTCTCCATCGGTTGCCGCCAAGCTTCTTACGGTTATCCTAAAAACAATCCAAGTTTTCCAACTAATAGAGGCTCAGTTTTCCTGTCGCGAAAAACGGGCAGGTTTTTGGGGAGATCGTCGATTTGCGACGAAAAAATCAACACTGGAGCACTTCCTGTCGATATCGATAGTCAGAATTTTACTGTTGCTTCAGCTCGTAAAAGCTTAGATAAGACTGCTCGTAAAATTAACCTACAAGTGCGAAAACCTACGTACTGATAAAATAAGGTCGATAAGAGTGACACGACAAGTTTAAAACGCCGCATAGCTGAAAACAATTCCCCATGACCCTAAATATTTCAGTGGGTCTATACCGAAAGAATTGATTAAAGTAATACCCAGAGCATCTTTTTTGTTCGAATAAGAGTGAAAAGCGACCGTTTCTTGTTTGCTTTATTTACCCGAGCGTATGTTCCCCCATTTTCTTTTATTTGTTTTTGGGAAACATGTGGTAAGACCATTTAGCAAACTTAGCTCCTGCTACCCTCATCGTTAGAGCTGGCAGCGTCTCTAAATCAAAAATAGACCCTTTCACTTTCTAAAGTGGTCGGTAAATAATTAATCCCGACGAAAAGTGTACACTTTGAAAAGTTCACTGAATCGATGCGTGTCGTTGAAACGTATTTTACAGTCCTCGATAAGTAAATTAATTCGTTTGATGCAACTAACAGCGCATGAATACTGTGCAATTTGTGCCGCTGGTCCGCCCCTGAATAAATCATCTCTTTCGGCATACATAATTTCGGTGGACGTGTGGAACAATGGGACAAAACAAACAAAAATCGATAATTAACTGAGCACAGTTTTGGGCTTTAATGTACATGTGCTTTAGAACTTAGAGGGGTTAGTGACTTGACCTTCGCGGTCTAAATGATACGCCGATGTTGCTAAACCAGGAGCATGAATCGCAGAGGCAAATCACCCCCAGGTACGAACGCGATACTTCATTTCGAATGCGTCTTCATATTTCAGATCGAGATACAAAAATACAATTTTCCTGTGCACACAGTTTTAATATTCTATTCTCTCCATTTCAAATAAAAACAGAGACGCATTTCACGTTTTGACTGACGGCGGTTCTATTATTCATGCCATCGTTCCAAATATTTATTTAAACAAAAATCCTGACATTCTCTGACAATTATTCGATTAGTGAAATAGCGGGATAATGGAATTTAATACTGGTAAATAACTAACTGATTATATTGTATGTTGAAAAACCGCTGCTGCATTAGTAACTCGATCATCCACTACTTCCGTCCATCACGCCTCACCTTTTTTGCAGATGTTGTCCAAGAATGAGCCTCAGACGGATACGGCAAAAATGACTCTGCGAGTGTGTCACGTGGCGAGTGACGGTCGTGAGCGGGCCATCTTCCCCACAGACATTTCACGCCACCCCCAAGATGCTTTCCGATCCGTCGCGTAAACGCTTAAGCTTCTGAGTGAGTGCCCGGGCAACATATCATGCCGAATCGTCTCCGGGTCGTGATCAAATAGACTAAAATGTAGTAGGACCCGCGGAAAAATGAGTGAAAACGTGCACCGTATCGCCGACGGTACCATGGCGCCCGTCATGGCGCAGAACTATGACGCCAACGTCGACTACGTCATCAACGAGTACATGGAGCGACTTGGCACCCGCCTGAACATCCTCGAGACCGAGCTCAAGTACGCGTGGCGCGCTCTGGACCTGTTGTCGCAGGAGTACATCAAGATGTGGGAGCGTCTGGAGAAGCTGGAAGGGTTGCTGTACGAGCAACAGAGCGTCATCTCGCAGCTGCTGGACTTTTACACGTCGGGAGGGGCGGGGTGCAGGCAGAACATGGGGGCGGGGGCTGCGGCGGTTCTGGACACCAGGCTGGGGGAGCTGGAGGTGATTCGGGAGATTCTCGGGAACGGGACGGTGGAGGATGGGTTGGAGGAGGGTCTGGATGTGAGTAGAGTGCAGTCGGCGGCTATCCAAGAACTGGAGTTGGATGAAATGCACGTGCCCGACGAGGCGTTCTACAGGAGTTTGAATCAAGCGTACAGGGAAGATTTGGTGGGGTGCGACCTGTCGGCTCAAGGGAGTCAGCTGGGGATGATCTGGGAAGAGCGCGAAGATGCAGACGACAACAACGAGAAGAAGAACGAGCTGAAGAAGTTGGAGCATCTGGATGAATCCGAAGAGGTGTTTAGTGCGTTAGATTACAAAGACTATAGAGGTAACTCTCCTTGTGTTAGTGAACAGGATATAGCTCAACTTTCTCGTATAGATACTATAGATCATGTAGCGATCGAAAAGCTGAACGAATTAGACAGACTGAGTAGCAAACTACAGCAGGACTCGGATAATATCAAACAGTTGCAGCGGAAACTTTTAGAGTCGCCTATAACCATCTCGCAGGAAGGCGAGACCAAAGCTTTGGAAGACAACTCGAAGTCGTTGGACGAGCACTTGAGACACATGTATAACGAGTCCGAGAGCTGGAGCTTCTCGAGTAGCTCGAGAGATCAAGACGAGCTCATCCTGCTGGCAAAATCCGAACTTCCTAATTCCATCCCGTATTCAACTAGACCTAGCTCAAGATTATCCGTGACTGATAGCGTTATAGGAACCGATACCGAAGTAGCCGAAGTTTTAGCCGGTGGAATCCGAACACCAACATCGCCTAGACGTCGTTCTGAAGTGAGCAGTTGTAGCGCTCCTTTCACCACCGTGACCGGGAGGCTCGCCTACAGCGCCGCCGTGCAACATGTAGACGCCGCGGCGGCCGCCAACTCCAAAAACCCCTTCTACTGCGGCAACTCCTTGATCGCAGCATCCTACGAAACAGTTCCTTGCTCCACCCCCAACATCTTCAACATCAAATCCGAACGAGCCCCCTCTCCTTCGTTATCGGTTTGCAGCGTGAGAACGCGCCAAGACGGTTACATCGCTGCCGGCACAACGAATTCCGATGAAGTACAAAGTAAAGGGGCGTCGCCTAGTCCGCCGCCACCTGCTCCTCTAGACGTATGCGACGCGTTCCTGATGCCTAATAGTACAGCTCCTGTACCACACACAGGACCTAGCCCAGTCTTCCTCGGTACAGACGCGGTACCGTCATCGTCAATTAACCTAGAACCGAGAAGGTCGCCAAAAACATCTCCCAAGAGAAACAAGTCGAACATAGTAGCTGCAAAGTCCGACTCGGGCTTGTCATCCATGAGCGGCTGGTCCAGTCTGGAAAAATCACCAGGTTCTCCCAAAAACCTCACGTCGAAAATCGCTGCCTTAAACTACTACGCTGATGCCGGGGCGAGACAGGCGAGCAACCGCCCGGCGTCTCCGGCGCCGGTCCAACCCGACGAACGCCCGTACCTTGAATCCAACACCGATTCCATCATCACCCCACACACCAATATCTTGCCGGGGGGACATCATCTTTCGGCCTTCACCACGGTCAAGTCTCCGTGTAGCTTGGAGACGTCTGAAGGGTACGGGACGTTCGTGCCCGCACCCGCTCCTGCGTCCGATATCAACGTGAGCCCCCGCCGGAAAAAGCACCACGCTACGAAAGCCAACTCGTTCGGAGAGTTTATGTACCGCAACGACCAACCTGCGATTTATTCGGTGGCGGGTAGTAATAGGGAAACGTACACGTCGGTCTACACCAGCAACAGCGCAGATTACATCAACCAAACTATCAACTATCCCGATTTGATTGAGCCTTACGAAAACAACGAATTCCATAATACACAACGGCATTTTACATACAATTCGCTTACAACGACCCAGGCCCCAACCGACTCACCCGGTTCTGGAAGAAGGAGGTCTTTGTCGAGGATGTACTCCACGAGTAACGGCCACGACGGAGTCGCCAATCATGAAGGTTACAAGACGGCGATGTACAGAACCATGTTTCCTAGTGGAAATATCACGGACGCCCTTTCCTACTACCCGACATCATCAAGGTACGAAAGTGGGGTCGTAAATTTACCGCAAACAGACTACAACGATCCTTCGGCGTGGCTGAGTTGTCCTCCGGATGGACACTACCAGGACAGTGCGAGCCCGAGTAGCTCAATGAGGTCGACCGAAACGTCGGACTACAACCAGAGTCCTTACCTGGATCAAAGGAGACAACCCCAGCGTCACCAACAACCCATATACGAAAACCAGACGCAAATCGACCAGCACAACAGGCAGTGGAACCAAAGACAAGAAATACCATACCTAGAGCTAGACCTGAGGAACAGGAACGTTCCGGAATACATAGTACAGCAACAGCAACACGGAGACAATAAATACTTTGACGCTAGCAACGTTATAATCACGCAATCAGGGTACATTACTATAAACTCAGAAACCGTTGATACTCACCGTGACGAAAAAACGAAAAAGAGTAAAAAGGGGAACACGCTACGATCCGCGATGAGTTCAGTAAGTCACTGGCTGCCCGACCTACACCTAACCAAGCGACACCGGTCTTACTCCCTCCCGTCAGGCGTAAGACGAGAAGACTTAGAAAAGAGCAAAAGCACCCACGTCAAGAGCAACGTCGCCCCTCGTCGGAAAAAAAAGAACGCTATTGTGTCCACGGTTTCCGGAATACTACAAAAAGCCAAACGAAAAACCCATTTCCAACAACCCACGCAATCTTTATCCGACCCAGAACAGTCCGAAAACGAATGGGTCCTACACCGAGCGAGCTCCGTCGTCTCCGAAGACGACCGAAGCGAAGACAGCTACAGCCTCTTCGAAAACCAACCCGACCGCGATTTATTCGCTAAAGTCTCCAAACCCAAAACCAGAAACAACAGTCAACAAGAAGCCGCCCCCAAACCTGAAGAAGATCAATTACAACTTCAGTTCGAACCGGTGAAGAAGTCTCCACAGACCAGCGACGCGAGTCCCCGGCAAGAGCAAGATTTCAACGGCGACGCGCTCGCTGCCGAAGAAGAAATTTCAGGAAAAAGTACGGGCAGCGGCTCCAGTACTATTTTTCCCACCATGGGCGACACCAAAAGAAGTTCGGCGTCGTCAGAAAAAAGCGACGAAACCGTCATCACCGAAAACAAAATGGTAGTGGTAGTGGGTGGAGCCTCCATGGAATTCGCTGTGTCAAGAGCCTTGGGTAAATACAGACAACAAAAGCAGACATCATCGTGTTCAGACGACCAATTGTCCGAGCAAGGTGTGGTGATCGAAGAAATCGCCAGTGAAGAACACCAAGAAATTGAAGAAAACAAACCCGAAAAACTGGTCGAACAAGCGTCCACTGAAAGTCAGTATAGCGATACGAGCAAAGTCGTCTCCAACGGTGAATTGACTCTCGAAGGAAGCCCATCAGCGTCCAGTTTACGAACGCAAGTTCACAAGTACCTGCCACGACACCAACAAAGCTTGGAGATTCCTGGCCACAAAGGCGAAGACGACGATAGCAAAAGTACGCACTCTTGGCGCAGTACTTCTCGGGTGTCGTCACGACGACAAAGCACCGAAGACAGTATTGACAGCGAAGACGAATGGTACTGCTACGAGCTCCGTAAACTCGAAGAGATGGAGCGCCAGTCGCAACTGGAAGCCGAAATGGGTGCCACTTTACGCGAAGAACCCGAACTGGAAGAGTTCTACGAACCGTACGAAGAAGTCAAAGAAAGAATGTCATTCGTTTTAAGAGAACTCCGAATGAAAGCCAAAGTCGTCGAAGGGGTCCTAGATGAAAAAGACAATAACATCCACGTTATCCAGTCGGCGAAGCACCGAGAAAACAACAACCACAACTCGTACGAAGTGGAAGAAGCCCACGCTTTGTTCGACAAAATCAATGAATTTAAAGAAGAACCCGAGGAAGAAGAACCATCCCGTGAGCCGTCCCCTCCACCTAAAGACGAAGAGCACTCGTCAGGCGAAACCTCGGGTCCTGACAGCCCGCACATCAGTGTCGACGAGGAAGAAGAAGACGTCAACCAAGAGTTCGCCAGGTGTCACGTACAAATGAAAGAGAAACCGCTCGAAGAGGCACCGATCGAAGAAGAAGAACCGAAACCCGAGAAGACCCCCGAGTTGCCTAAAATTAAAATAGACGCCGACACCACCAAACCCGAACTAGCTAAAGAAGCGTCCGCTCAAATGGGTAGTAAATGGAAGCTACTCAAAGCTTTGAAAGAACGTAAGGCGGAAGAGAAGAGTAACCAAGTTAAAGTTCCTGAAACGACGACTGAAAAGGATAAAGTGAGTATGCTGGGGATGATGCAGAAGTTTTACGAGATACACGTTAAGACATAGTCATAGATGAGATGAGTAGTTGCACCAAGTGTTACAAATCGCAGCAAATAAATTTTGGATGTAAGCTTTGCCTTCAAATGTATGTCACAAAGATTATTGTAACCGAAAGCTTGTTAGGTCACCAATTATGTAAAAAAGGTCAATAATGTAATCAGAGTCAATTTTCAATGCAGGTAAATTCAAAAATAATAAAATTTATGGTGATAGGGATAAAGGCTAGGGTCAACGGTGGATGGATATATTTATTTACCCATAATCATGTCACACTCCATATCATAAGCCATATCGTCTGAATCATAGCTGCACAGATTGTTACTATTAATTTAATGTTGTTAATCGTGTCGCCACACCTAAATGTATACAGTCAAAAGAGATTGACATTATGATTATTAGACTAAAGTGTTTATACTATCATTCGCGTTACGCAGGCTCTGAAACGTCCAAAATCTCTTAAATTAACTGTAAAAAGTCATATATACTCACTTCCTCAGACGTAATAACTAGATTTAACACATCGTCTTTTCCTCTAAAAAATTTCCTTTAGATACTATTGACAATAATTTGTTCGAGCTTCTGCAACAATAACGACTTGTAAAATACTATACATACTAATAGCGTAATTATTCTAAACTAAATAACACTACTTTCCTCACCCCCATGTCACGTCACTCTTCACAATGCATGCATAATCCACCCCACCATCGAGCGCTAACCAATTCTTGTAAATAAAGTCAAAATTTTCAAAGGTTCTACCTACTGACCAAAACGGTACGCTTAAAAAATTTACTTTACACGTGATAGTATAAATGCACGATTGTTCATACGGTCCCGTTTAGCTTCTAACCCTTAGACTGTTCTCATAATGACAATCTCAGTATATACCAATTAGTAGACGATGAGACTATTAGAAGTGAGTTTAGGCAAAGTGTGTACTATGGCATAGGTCGCATACATCCGCACAGTATAGTATTGATGTTAGCAGTATTATAACGACGCTTATCTAGGACAGTTGCTTCAAGAAAGACATTGTGCTAAGATAATAAGTTTGTATACCCTGTTCCGACACTGTAAGATTGTTATTTTAATACTATTGTTGTATTTTGGAATGTGTTAAGAATAAAGTGTTTTGTTAGTCTGATTGTTGCCCCGATTGGGGACGTTGTGTTGATTCACTATTTATGTTACTTTTTTTGTTTTTAGAATGGGTCGGGACTCAGCGGCGACTCGGCCAACAGGGCGAATGGGTAAGTAATCGTCAATAATTCCTCGCAATCTCACGCGATCTTGACCATCTCCAGTCGTTTCAACAGCTCCGCTATCAGTGAAACAGAACAAACAAAACCGAAAAAACGGAAGCGTCACTCTGTACTAGATAAAACTTTATCTAACACGACTTCGCAAAAACCCAATTCTCTTCCTCGTGTGTAAAAATTAATTAACCCACCTATTTACATAATGAAAGTTAAAATTAATTTACACCGCCGAGTCCAAGCACGTTCCCAATTCACCACTTTTAGCAAAACTGTGTGAAATAAAACGTGCAGCAGAGTCAAGAGAAACGGATAAATTTCCGCCGAATCACCCCATTGAATAAAACGTTTGCGGCGCCGTAAAAATATTAGTACTCCTTCAAGAGATCAGATTCGAAATTTCACATGAATACCGCAATACGGGACATTTGTATTCGGGATGCATTGGCGTGGCTCGGGCATCCATGAATTTCGTACGAGGAAAAACAAAGCGAAAAATATTAGAAAAATATTACGGAAGTAAAGACCAAATGCTGCCAACGCACATGGTAGCGACGAAAATTTTGCCACGTTCGTTTATTGTAATCGACATCCGGCTCGAAGGACTAACGCGTGCTCCTTCGAGCCGGATTTAACGAAAAACTTGTGTTTGACACTGAATTAGCATTTTATGAAATATCTGCGACATCCGAACATTTACTCGTACAAATTGAGCCATATTCGGGTGTTAAATCAACTTCTTGCGTCTCTGGTCGTTAAAATTAATGAAAATCGTCGATCTTGGAGGGATTTAAACGATTCTATTCAACGATTCCGACTGGGGTTCGTGTGCTCGAATAAGCCACTTTATACTCGCACAGGATATCGCGTGACCCTTAATAATAACGAAATGACCCTTTTACCCTGTTTGATATGAGCGTAGATTAATTGCCGCCGTTGCGTTGCGCATATGCGCAACTAGTGCTAGTTTCGGCTGCATATTGATGCTAGGAATGGGGTTTGTGATTAATCATTCCTGTGTACAAGGTTGCGGTTGATGCGAAATTTGATACGCAGGGAAAAGGGAGGATTCTCATGCATAAAGAGCGGATTCCGAGCAAAGGGCAAATGCCTTTATCATTTTGGTTGTAGACAAATGTTCACCTTTTTTGCCTATTTTGTTCTAAAATCTGAATTTTATATACATATTTTGTTCTCGAAGAAACTTGACAATAAAACTTTGCCCTTACTTTTGGAAAGAAACTGCTAAAATAATATTCCTGAGGAATCAACTATTGAGTTATTTTAGATTATACTTTAGTAGGTGATTAAATATAAATGTAAAAAATATCGAGAACCTGTCAAAGTTTAAGGTTATAAGTGTCAAACATTCTTAAAAAAAATGTCAAAAGTGATACGTCAAATAAACATAAAATGTCAGACATATCAAAGATATCAAATATTTCTAAACTGTCAAAATAACAAAACGTCAACCTTCTTAACAAAAAAAACAAAGAATTCAAACACATCAAATATTTTAAAATTGTCAAAAATCAAAAATTTCCAAAACACGGATAAAATTACAAAAATGGTTAAAATGTGAACGATGTCAACTACTCTAAAGACTACCAGAAATATAATTTATAGAAAAAATTAAAATGTCACATATGTTCAAAACATCAAACACGTCATAGTTATCCAGAATATGAAGAAAAAAAATCTAAAGAAAGATCAAAAATATTATATAAACATAAAGAATATCGTAAATGTCTAGGAATGTCAATGTTACAAGTTTCAACAATTCTTTAAAAAAATCACCAATAATATGTCAAATATACGTGAAAATGTCACACATTAAGTATTTCAAAATTGTCAAAAATAACAAGAGGTCAACATTCTTAAAGTTGACAAAAAAGTCAAAAAAGTGGAACACATCGAATATTTCAAAATTGTCAAAAATAACAAGGAACCAACATTCCTAACATTGACAACAAAAATCAAAAATCAAAATGTTAAAAAGATCAGAAACAAATATATTAAACTTTTAATTTTAAAATGTCAAAAATTATAGTTAATATCAAAAAAACTGAAAAACGGAAAGAGACGATAGTAAAATAACCAGGAAAAGCGAAAAATTTATTAATTGAAAATCATGATATAGAAAATGTAAAAAGAAACTAAAAAATGAAAAAACGCATAATTTGAAAAATTTGAAAGTGAAAACTCGAAAAATTGGAAATCTAACAATTCAAGGAACAAAAAACCTGAAAGACTAAAAATTGAAAAAAATTGAAAAGTTGGAAAATTGAGAAATGAAAATATCCAAATTTTGAAAAATTGTACTCAAATTGCAAAAATGTACAAGTGAAAAATGGTACAAGTATAGAAAAGAAAACTTGAAAACTTAAAAAATAAAAAATCGGAAAATAATTGATAAATCGGAAACGTCGACAAATCGAAAAATGAATGTCGAAAATTTTTAAAATTAAAAAACTAAAATTTGAATAAAATTTAGTTTTCATTGATGTCCCTGAGAAGCTAAATTATTAAGAAATATTTTTTCCGAGTAATTTACCTTAAAATTTTAATTTAAAAATGTCAAAAATTATAGTTAATATCAAAAAAACTGAAAAACGGAAAGAGACGATAGTAAAATAACCAGGAAAAGCGAAAAATTTATTAATTGAAAATCATGATATAGAAAATGTAAAAAGAAACTAAAAAATTAAAAAACGCATAATTTGAAAAATTTGAAAGTGAAAACTCGAAAAATTAGAAATCTAACAATTCAAGGAACAAAAAACCTGAAAGACTAAAAATTGAAAAAAATTGAAAAGTTGGAAAATTGAGAAATGAAAATATCCAAATTTTGAAAAATTGTACTCAAATTGCAAAAATGTACAAGTGAAAAATGGTACAAGTATAGAAAAGAAAACTTGAAAACTTAAAAAATAAAAAATCGGAAAATAATTGATAATTCGGAAACGTCGACAAATCGAAAAATGAATGTCGAAAATTTTTAAAATTAAAAAACTAAAATTTGAATAAAATTTAGTTTTCATTGATGTCCCTGAGAAGCTAAATTATTATTAAGAAATATTTTTTCAGAGTAATTTACCTTCATAGTAAGACCTCGAAAATCATTACAATAAAAATTCAATCTCCAAAATAACAAAACGTCAATTTTCTTAAATTGACAAAAAAATCAAAGAATTCAAACACATCAAATATTTTAAAATTGTCAAATATATAAAAGGTGTTAACATTCTTAAAATTGACAAAAAAAATCAAAAAGTCGGGGTTAAAATGTTAAAAATGTTAAATAACTCAAGAATGTCAAAAGCGAAATCTCTACAAAAAAGTTTGACAGCAAAAACTTTCAAAACACGGATAAAATGACAGAAATGGTTAAAATGTGAACAATATCAACTACTCTAAAGATATCCAGACTGCCCGAAATAAAATTTATAGAAGAAATATAAAATGTCACATATGTTCAAAACATCAAACACGTCATAGTTATCCAGAATATGCTGAAAAAAAATCTAAAAAAAGATCAAAATGTCAAAAATTTTATATAAACCTAAAGAATATCGAAAACGTCTAGGAATGTCAATGTTTAAGGTTACAAGTTTCAACAATATAAATCATAAATATACGTGGAAATGTCAGATATGGCAAACACGTCAAATATGTCAAAATTGTTAAAATAACAAGGAGCCAACATTTCTAACATTGACAAAAAAAATCAAAAATAAAAGTGTTAGAAAGCTCAGAAACAAATATGTTAAACTTTTAATTTAAAAATGCCAAAAATATTAAATAATTCAAGAATGTTAAATATCAAAAACTATAACATCAAAAAAACTGAAAAAATGAAAAACTGAAAAACGGAAAGAGACGATAGTAAAATAACCAGAAAAAGCGAAAAATGTATGAATTGAAAATCATGATGTAAAATATATATCTAAAAAGAAACTAAAAAATTAAAAAAAAACGCATAATTAGAAAAATTTGAAAGTGAAAACTCGAAAAATTGTAAATCGAACAATTCAAGGAACAAAAAAACTGAAACACTAACAATTGAAAAAAATGGAAAAGTTGAAAAATTGAGATATTAAGATATCCAAATTTTGAAAAATTGTAAAATCGGAAAATTGCAAAAATGTACATGTCAAAAATCGTACAAGTATAGAAACGAAAACTAGAAAACTTGAAAAATAAAAATAGATAACTAAAAAATCCCAAATGTCGAGAAAATAAAAATCCAAAAACAAAATCTATAAATTGAGGGATTCGCAAACTGAAAAACCGACAAATCGAAAAATGAATATCGAAAGTTTTTAAAATTAAAAAATTAAAATTTGATTCTAATATGGAATATGTAAACGAAAAGAAAAACGCAAAATTGGAAACCGAAAACTAGAAAAATTGCAAACTGAACAATTCAAGGCACAAAGAAGATTAAATATTTTAAAAAATTCAAAAATTCAAAAACTGAGAAATTGAAAAATCCAAATTTTGAAAAATTGCAAAATGGAATAATTGCAAAAACGTAAAATTGAAACGCCAATACAGAACATTTAGAATGCGAGCGCAGCGAGCACGTTCAGGTGTAATTTAAAAAAATATTCATGTGTGTCCTGGAGAAACTAAATTTATTTACGAGAGAATTTTTTAATGTCTAAAAAAGTAAATCTTGAAAATGTTTGTAAACATTAAAATTGGAGAGACCCTAGCTACCGGAACGTGCTCGCTGCGCTCGTATTCTAAGTATGTTTTTTAATCTACAGAGTTATTTTATTAGTATAACTGAACCCAAATAACTTCTCTGAGATCGTTTCTTGCATATTTCTGAAACTAAATATCAAAAAAAAGAACGTCTAGAACGCGAGCGCAGCGAGCACGTCCAGGTATAATATAAACAAGTTTTCATTGGTGTCCCTGAGAATCTAAATTATTAAGAAATATTTTTTTGTTGTTGAAATTTTAAAAATTGGAAACTGAAATATACC